CTTTCCCTGCACCTGGCAGAGGCTGCGAGCGGGGTCTGGACCTTGGACGTGGGGTTGCCGGCAGGGTGGGGTGACGGTGCAGTGTCCACGTGCGTTCCCAGTTTCCCTGGGGAGTGGGGTGGGAGCAGCGCTCAAGGGGTGTGCGGCCAGTGAGGCAGGAGGGAAGCCAGCCCCGTGCGCTGCTGTGGGCAGGCTCGCGGGTCCAGCTCCACGGACAGTGGTGCCGCCCCTCCCCCTCCAGGGGCACCTCACTCAGGCCAGGCCTGTGCAGGAGGTGGAGGCCTAAACTGCCGCTGGGCGCCTTGGGGGGTGTCCACTGGAGAGTGAGGGCCTCCCCTCTGCTCAGAGAGACGCTGGGGACGAGGGGCGGGAGATGCCTCTTTGGACAGAACCGACGGGCAGGTTCCCAGCAGCCTCAGCCCGGCGTTGGGTATGAGGCCTCCTCTCTGCTTTTCTCAGACGTGCTTCCTGGTTTCCTGGGAACACGAAGCCGCTCTCCCTTGGAGGCCCAGGTGGTTCCAATGGCACGGGTGGGGGGCTCAGCTGACCACGCTGTCCCCACAGTGGACCACGTGTTCCCCGACACGGGTGTGAGCCTGCTGGCAGCCTACGAGCAGTGGCGGGAGAGAGCGGACCGTGGAGCCTGCTGCGACTACTCCCTGCACGTGGACATCCCCCGCTGGCACGAGAGCACCAGGGAGGAGCTGGAGGCCCTGGTGAAGGACAAGGGTGAGCGGGACGGCAGGCCAGGCGGAAGGGCAGCTGCAGGGCCCGGCTTCCCCGGCCTCGGGTGGGCGCTCTGTGCACCTGAGCCCGGGGCAGGGGCCGCGAGCTGGGAGAAAGTTGGACAAGAGTCATTCGAAGATCTGCCAGGCTGAGAGGTCACCTGCGTCCGAGTCTGGGGGCGCATCCCGTAGCCGTCGTCCTCACAAGAGGACACAGCAGGGACCTCCCTGGAGGTCCAGTGGTTAAGACTTCACCTTCCAGTGCAGGGGGTGCGGGTTGGATCCCTAGTTGGGGAGCTAAGATCCCACATGCCTCGCGGTCAAAAAACCAAAACAGAAAGCAGAAGCAATATTGTAAGAAAATTCAATAAAGACTTAAAAAAAAGAGGACACAGCAGTCACAGTTGTGACCTCAGTCCTCTTGTATCTTGGCCCTGGATGAAGGATAAGCGCTATAAGCCTTCTTAGCATCTTAAGAGCCTTTAGAAGGAGATGCCTTAAAACCTACTGCAAAAAAATTAAAATAAAATAAAACCTACTGCTGCCTCAGCTGAACAGGACGGTTTACAGATAAGGCTTAATTTTTTTTTAAATCAAAAGTCCTGAAGCTGAAACCACATCAGAGTTTACAAAGGATTTGACAAGTTAGCTGGACGTCGTAACTGAGCTCCGGTGACTGGCCTCGAGGGTGGGCCTAGCGCACAGCCGGGAGAGGAGCTGGCGGGTCTGAGACGGGGGGTGCTGGCTGCAGACCCCTGGCCGGGCCCTGGAGGCCACAGGGCCCTCCCCACAGGAGACGCTGCCACCCGCCCCACTGTACCTCCGAGGGAGGCAGGGAGGTTCATGGAGGCCATTTCCCAAAGAGCGACGGTCCTCACACCAGTAGCCTTTGGCATTTCGGACCCCCAACCTGGGGGTGGGCAGGGGGCTCTCAGCCTCTGCACCTCGTTCCAGGCAGTGGCTCCGCCACCCGGGTTGTTCCTTAACAGGATCGGGAGGCCTGCGGCCTTGCAGCTCCGAGCAGAGGTAGAAACCAGGCACCTGCCGCCACCACCCTCCTGCCGGGGCAGAGCGCTGGTCCTGGCCCGCTGCATGGCGTCCAGGGACAGGCCTGCATGCTGACCAGTAGCCTCCACCAGGCGCCCTGGGGTGGGCTGTCACCCGGGGGGTCGGCTCGTGTGGCACTGGGTGACAGTTTCCCCCGCGTGCCTTTGCTTAAGTTCGCACTTTCAACCCAGCGAGATGACAGGGAGGAGGAAGGGGCCGCGCGCCGCTGGTTTGGATGGTGGGGGGTCAGGTGAGTCCCCAGCTGGTCCCGAGTCTGCACAACACAGGAGAGCTCGACCCTGGCCTGATGGGCCCTGACGCCGCGGGCAGCCGGTCCTGTCCCTTCTGCTTTTCCTGAGGGCCTGAGCGGGCGCTGTGAGCGGGACCTGGCAGTCGCCACCGAGGCCCGCAGGCCAGGTGGCCGTGAGGGCCACCCCGGCGCCCAGTGTGGGAGGGGCTCCTGTGCAGCCCGGGCGGAGCTCAGGCAGCGAGCCTGCAGCTCACGGCTCCCTTCCGTCCGGGGGGGCACGGGGCTCCCGGGGCTCCCAGGGGCCATGGGGGGTTAGTGGGTGGGGGGCGGGGTCTCACCTGGCTCTGCCACTGGGGAACAATTGGTTCCTGACCCCAGAGCTCGAGGAGCAGGAGGCGCCGGGGTGACTCTGTCCCCATCCCGGCTTGGGAGAGTGTGGGGCTGGTCCCCCGGGACCACCAGGCCAGCTGGTGGGGCCCCTGGAGCTCGGGGAGCAGTGGAAGCTCCTGGCATCCACCCCTCCTTCCTCCCCCCAGGTGTGAATTCCTTCCTGGTCTTCATGGCATACAAGGACAGGTACCAGTGCACGGACGGCCAGGTAAGGCCAGGTGCCGAGCGGGGGAGCGAGCAGGTGTCTCAGGCTGCTGTGGATGGGAGACACACAGCCTCACGCAGCCCACGTGCCTCTCCCCAGATGTACGAGATCTTCAGTGTCATCCGGGACCTGGGAGCCGTGGCCCAAGTGCACGCAGAGAACGGCGACATCGTGGACGAGGTGTGGGCGGGGCTGGCGGGGTGACCCCTGCCCACTTGGGTGTGAGCACTGATCCCACAAACCCTGACGGAGGGAACCTGGAACGTGACCCAGTAAATGGCTTGCCCAGGTCAAAGGTCAAGCAGGCAGGGCGCAGGGAGTCTGGGGGGCTCTTGGCCATAACAGATTTTTCCATGATCATCACACTTCTGATCAAAAATCCTCCAAAACCAGGGACTTCCCTGGCGATCCAGTGGGTGCGATTCTGCACTTCCACCGCAGGGGGCGCAGGTTCCATCCCTGGTTGGTGGCGGAGCTCCTATGCTTTGCGGTGTGGCCAAAAAAAAAAATTCTCCAAAATCAAAGTGTTGCTTCTTGGTGAGGGGTGCTGAGACTGGGGTCTCCGAGCCCTCCGCGTCCTGGACTGAGGCCCCTCCCATGAGCACACCTGTTGGGTTAGTGGCACTGTCCTCAGTCTGCCCGGGGGTGGGGGGGGCCTGGCCCTTCTGCACACGCCCCCACCTTCCCTGTGGGCCCAGGGCTGTGAGGGGGGTGCCCCCAGCCTCTGCCCCTCACCCCGTTTTCCCGTCCGCCCACAGGTGCAGGTTGGGTGGGGCGCCCGGGAGCTTCCAGGCCTCCTGGGGACCTGGCGGGAGGTTGCACATACACGGCCACCTCCCCAACATTCCAGACCCACAGAGAAGCTTCCTGGGACCCGTAGGGTTCTGCCCCTCCCAAGTTCAAAGGGAGGGTGATGACACTCAGGAGGGGCATGTGGGGTTCCGGGCATCGGGTACTGTATGTGCTTCCAGGGTTTGAGGCCAGGCCCGGCAGGAGACGTCATGGGTCGTGCTTAGTGTTCTGGACGCTGGGCCGCGAGTGCCGGGGAGGCTTATTACGGGGTCGGTGGGATTCTGCTCCCCCATTCTCCACGCCGAAGCTCGTTTACACCATAGGGTGCTGTGGCTCAGACCTGTAGTATGAGTGAGCTTGCCCAAGAAGCCCCGTCCCCGACTGTGCACAGCCGCCATGCACACCCCGCTGCGTACGCCCCCGCCGCGCATGCCCCCGACCGCACTCCCCCGCCACACACGCCCCCGCCGCTCACCCACTGGGGAAACAACACGGCAGGCAAGGCTGTGGGGCCTTGTCCCCTCACTTACGGGGCCTGGGACCTTGGGTCCTTTGCAAGCCCCGTTCCCTCATCTGTAATTGGGGGCGCTGGAGTCACTCTGCTTCGGGACCCCTCTGCTCCATTCTGAGTGCTCTGGGGTTGGTGATCCTCAGGGGCCTGGAAGTCTGGGCTCATCTCGGGGAGCACGGGTCGTCTCAGGGTTAGGGTGTTCTGGGCTGTGTCCAGGCTGGAACGTGGTGTGTATTTAGGAGCAGAAGCGGCTGCTGGAACTCGGCATCACCGGCCCCGAGGGCCATGTGCTCAGCCGCCCAGAGGAGGTAGGTGTGAGCTTGCTGGGAACACACCCCCGACTGGGCCTTCAACAGGGGTTGGGTCTGGCCCCGTGGGCCCGGCAGGGCTGTGATCTCTCTGTCCTCGTCTGGAGGCGTGAATCAAGGCTCACGTCCCCTCCTACCACTGGTCACCCTGAGGCCTTTATGCGAGGCCAAGAAGGTGTCATGGTCAGCCCTGGGGTCTGCATGGGTCGGCCCAGATTCTGGGCACCTAGCCCCAGGCTGGGGTCCTCACCCACCCAGGGGTGCTCCCTCCCTCTGAGCCCGGGGTCCATGGGTGGTCTGGGGGCATCTCATGCCCATACTGGTCAGGAGGCCCCAGTGTTCTCGTGTGGCCTGAGTGCCCCCATCCGCAGGTGGAGGCTGAGGCCGTGTACCGCGCTGTCACTGTAGCCAAGCAGGCCAACTGTCCCCTGTACGTCACCAAGGTGATGAGCAAGGCTGCGGCCGACGTGATCGCCCAAGCCAAGCGCAGAGGTGAGTGGCGGCCCGGACTGGGGCGCAGGGCCAGGGGCTCTCTGGGGGTCTGTCACGTCCTCAGCTTCCTGGGACTGGGCCAGCTGGACAGATGCTCAGCGCAGGCAGACCCCACAGGGACGCAGCGGCTGCCCTGCCAGCCTCTTCATGGTGGGGTGGCCTTTAGTGTGGGGTTACCAGGGCTGTGGCCGGCGGGAGATGTGGGCGCCTGGTCCTTGTGTGGGGTGGGTGGCCTGAGTCTCCCCTCTTGTCCAAACAGCAGTGGAGCCCCGGGGGGCCTTGAAGCAAAAGTGAGGCCTAGTGTGGCCCTGCTTGCACAGAAGTGAGTGTCAGAGCTGTGCTCCGTGTGTGCATGTATCTGTGTGCGCGATGTGTGTGGCATGTGTCTGTGTGTGTGTGTGTGTGTGTGTGTGTGTGTGTGTGGTGTGAATGGTGCATGAGAGTAGATCCTCATGTCATGTAAGGAAGCCTGGCCCAGCTGACCCTGGGGGCCCATGTTACTGTCCGCTGGGCATGTCCTGCGTCCAGGAGCTGGGGTGCGGGTCCCGAGGGCTGGATGCCCTCTGGCCCTGGAAGCCCAGGCCATGGAGAAGGCAGGGGGTCACTGACGGAGCCAGGTCCTTGCACAGAGGCTGTGGCCAGGCGGGCCGAGCAGTCAGGTGATGGTGTCTCACTGCAGCCTGTGGCCCCAGCAGGGGTGTGAGGCAGCGGGGACAGGGGACCCACTTTGGGAGCCCCAGGCGGCCTGGGCCGGGCACCCCCGGAGCAGGGGAGAAGCTGTCCAGGCTTGGGAGATCGAGGGGCAGTTGTGCGTCAGCCCTGGGACCACAGGGCCAGACACACCCCACGATGAAGGCTGGGTCAGGGGGGCGTTCCCAGGCCCTGCCTGGGTCTGGGGACATGGGAGCCGGCAGTGCCCCTCACGGTCTCACCGCAGGGGTGGTCGTGGTCGGGGAGCCCATCACCGCCAGCCTGGGCACCGACGGCTCCCACTACTGGGGCAAGAACTGGGCCAAGGCCGCAGCCTTCGTCACGTCGCCCCCCCTCAGCCCGGACCCCAGCACTGCAGACCACCTCGCCTCCCTGCTGTCCAGGTAGGGAGCTGCCTACATGCCCCTCGCCCTGGCCTGGCTTGTGCCCGCCGGCAGCTCCAGGCCTCTTGCGTCCAGAGACTCCGCACCGGGGTCCTTGCCCTCCCACCTGCGCCCCGAGGCCCCAGCTCTGCCCTCTCCGACAACCTCTCCCCCACCCCGCCGTGGGCCGAGCAGCCGGGCAGGGGTGGAGCCAGCTGGGCCTTTGGCGGCTCAGGAAGGACAGGCCCCTCTGGGCTCTGACTCCGGCTCTCCTCAGCGGGGACCTCCAGGTGACCGGCAGTGCCCACTGCACCTTCACCACCGCCCAGAAGGCCGTCGGCAGGGACAACTTCACGCTCATCCCCGAGGGCACCAACGGCGTGGAGGAGCGCTTGTCTGTGGTCTGGGAGAAATGCGTGGTGGGTGCAGAAGTGGGGACGCAGGGTCCTCCCCACAGAACGCTGCCTGTTCATCAGAGAGGGAAGCCCCTTGAGCGGCAGATTCACCAGAGCAGAGGTCGGGGCTCGTGGGCCCCAGGGTGTCGTCCCCCCAGCCCTGCCATCCAGGGCTCCCTAGACATTTGCTTCTGGTCCTAATGCACACGGCCCTGGGAGAGCGGGGTCCCTGCCCTGGTGGAATTACATTCTGCAACGTGTCCCTAAGAGGCCTGAGATTTCCTCAGGCATCCACCTCGCTCGGAGGGCCCTGCCCACGGCCCCTGCCCCCATGCCCCCAGCCCCAGTCCTGAGCCCTTCCCTGGGCTGAGGCCCCGACCCCAGGCTCCTGGCCACCCCAGGGGGATGGTCGCGTCCTTTGGGGACACAGACATCATTGTGGAAGCGTCAGCATTCATTTGCCCACAAAGTGAGCAGGGAGACCAGCTTGGCGCCCAGGAGGAAGCAGACCTGCAGGCACGTCGGCGGCACACGACCTGCGGCCTAGGGGACAGGGGCCACCTCCACACAAGAGCCCCGAGACCAGACCCCGCCTGCGGTCAGGAAGGCGCTCCCCCAACTCACCCCCGCCTTCTTACTTCTCAGGCCTCAGGGAAGATGGACGAGAATGAGTTTGTTGCTGTGACCAGTACAAATGCAGCCAAAATCTTCAATGTTTACCCAAGGAAGGGGCGGGTGGCCGTAGGCGCCGACGCCGACCTGGTCATATGGAACCCCAAGGCCACGAAAGTCATCTCTGCCCAGAGCCACCACCTGGTGAGAGAAGCCTGGTCCCACGTCGGGGTTGGGGTCGGGGGCCTGGGGAGCCCCGCAGCCTTCCTGGGGTGTGGGCAGAGCAGCGGAGGCGGGAGGGTGAGCCCTCCGCCGGCTCCTCCAGGAATGCTCTGTGCTCCTGAGAACCGTGCCTCAGGGGCAGGGGTGCAGGGCGCGGTGGCCACTGCCCTCTGAATCCCGGTCCGGCCGAGTGGGCGCCCCCCTCAGGGGTCCTGGATCAGAAGAACGCTGAGCAGCCCCTGGCTGTTCTCCCCAGAACGTGGAGTACAACATTTTCGAAGGCGTCGAGTGCCGAGGAGCCCCCATGGTGGTCATAAGTCAGGGCAGGGTCGTGCTGGAGGACGGGGCCCTGTTCGTCACCCCCGGGGCTGGCCGCTTTATTCCACGAAAGACCTTCCCCGACTTCGTCTACAAGAGGATAAAGGCTCGCAACAGGGTAAGGCCTGAGCCAGGCAGGCGGGTGGGCATGAGCCCTGCCCACGGCCACTGTCGGGAAAGCACAGCGGCCCCACTGCTCCGGGCGCTGGTTTGCAGTGCTTTCCCCGGCGTCCGTTACCACGCAGCCCGTGTCACTGTAGAAACGCTTCGTAGCCACCCCCCAGGTACACTGCCACTAAGGCTAGCAGAGCCCGCCCAGGATTTCCCCGGGAGCAGATGTGGACGTTAATAAATTAAGGAAGGAGAACACGTGGTTTACATGGCATCCATGAACTTGGAAGTTGTGAGCCCTCGTCTTCCCATGAGGGCTTGGCCAGCTGCCCGCTGAGTCTGGCGGATGCACCAGGTGTCCACCCAGGCCCCGCGCCAAACACACAGGTGGTTCACGCATGCGCACAGGCACACACAACGCAGAGCTGCACACGTGGTTACTGTACACTCTGGTTTGCTTTATCCCAGCCCCGTTTCCAGTTTTCTAGACTAAAGACATTGAGCTCGTATGAGGAGGGATGGCTTTCGGGCTGGGCTAGGGGCCAAGTGCTGGTCTCCTTCCCAGGAAAGGAGTGGAGGCTGCCCTAACTCGCAGACACTTCTGTCTCAGGCTGCAGGGCCCACACCACGGCTGCTGCCCACATCTGACCTGGGCACGCCACCCCCTCCTCCCTCAGGGTTCGAGTGGGGCCGAGAGGCAGGGTCCAGGGCAGAGGGCTGGGCATCGCACCCCTTGGGGTGAGGTCCAGGGCACCCCTGGGCACTGGCCACTGGGAAGCTCCGTGAGGTGGCAGGCCAGCCCCACGTACAGCCGTGGCACAGAGCAGGAAGAGGGGACGGCTCCCCATCGCACACCCGGGGTGATGGGGGCAGACCCGAATCTGCAGAACTCCACACCCCACAATCACTCGTGCCCTGCACCCCTGCCCCACTGTGACCCCTGCAGGGCAGGATCTGGTCAGAGGCCCTTGGGGCTGGGCTCAGCCCCACAGTCATGAGTGTAAGCCACAAATCCCCGGGTAGGGGCCAGCTGCAAACACGAGCACAGCTGAAGGGTTTGCCTCAACCCTCGGACTGTTGGTCCATCGTGGTGGCTACTGGGAAGGGCCTCTGCCTCTGGGGGCCATTTTCAGGGAGGGCAGGACCCAGGGCCACCACCTCAGGGCTTCCTCAGGAACACAGTGGGGGCTGCGTGGGGGGCCACGGTACGGTGGGTACTGAGGAGCAGCGACTATGTTGGGACCAGTTTCTGATTCCAAAAGGAGCCTCCTCCGCAGGCCACCCCTGACCGAGCATCTCCTCCAGCTCGGGGCACTGCTGCCCAGCCTCGGGGGAGGGAGGTATGTGTCCACACTCGCGGGTAGTCAGCCCTGTTGGCAGGGAGCCCCCTGCCCTCGAGCCCGGGGCCCGCGCAGCACCCCCTCATGCCAGCCTCTCGGCCCACAGCTGGCAGAGATCCACGGTGTGCCCCGAGGCCTGTACGACGGGCTGGTCCACGAGGTGATGGTGCCTACCAAGCCAGGGGCCGGTGTGCAGGCCCGTGTGTCCTGCCCGGGGAAGATCTCAGTCCCACCCGTTCGCAACCTGCACCAGTCGGGGTTCAGTCTGTCTGGTGAGTTGAGCCCAGCGTCTGTGGGACCCGAGGACCACGTGGGAGCCCAGCCTCCAGCCCCTCACTGCCCCATAGCGCAGAGGCACACATGTGAGGCGCATAAGGATGGGGCCCGGGGGCTTCAAGGGCTCTGGGGGCCCAGCATGCAGCCACCAGGTTTAGGCCTCTGATCAGGGTCTCAGCTGTGCTCCTAGCATGCTAGGATTCTAAGAGAAGCCCTGAGCCCCAGGCTCTCCCTGCACACGGAGCCAGACCCTCCCTCTCTCTTCCCAGCCCTTGGATGGGGGCCCACCAGCCCCTGACATCCTGTCTCAGCCTCCCTACTGGGGAGGTGGTGGACGTCCCTGCCTGCCCCCTGGGGATGTAGGGCCAGGGGCGGGTCCCCTTTGGAATCCAGCATCCTTCTAAAGGCTAAAAAGACAGCCTTCTCCCGTCACGGGGGTCGGTGTGGGGCAAGACCCACGGGCGGGGCAAGCAGGAGTGGCCCGGCCTCTGCTCCTCTGGACCGGATTCCCAGAGGGTCAACCTTGACCTCCAGTCTCTGGCCGCACGCACACCTGGCCTCACTTGCCTGCTCATCTGAGGCCTCAGTGGTGGGAGTGCCTGACGGGTGGCCTGGCTGAGCTGCCAGGGCTGTCGGGGAGCGTGGTGGGCCTGCAGTGTGGGGCTGTGGCTCCGCATCCCTGGCCTCGCGGGTGTGGCCTGTTTGCGTCACCTCCCCAGTGCCAGCTCCCACTCCTGGCTTCTCCACAGGCTCTCAGGCCGATGACCATATCGCCAGGCGCACTGCTCAGAAGATCATGGCACCACCTGGCGGCCGCTCCAACATCACATCCCTGTCCTAGGTGCTGCTCGTGCCAGCGGCGGGCGTGCCTGTGGGCGACGGCCGCGCCCCTCTGTTCCCTTCCCTTCGTTGAACCTATTTTGAAAGGTGCCTGGCCTTACCTTCCGCTCCCCAGAGACTCTCCTCTTGGGGTCCCAGGTCCTGTTATGAGGAGCCCCCGCAGGAGAGGCTGAATTTGGGGAGGTTTCACTGCCAGGGCAAGGAGGCTGGACATGGTGGTGGGGACAGCTCAGGTGGCCCTGAGCCCGGGTGCCAGGTGCCTCAGGAAGACAGGGGCCTCCTAGGATGCCCAGGGCAGCCGGGCCAGGACGAAAGGCTGGGGGTGTTTTGCCCTCGTCTCTATCAGGAATCACTGCCCTGGGGACCCCCAGCTCTGCCACCCGCTCCCACGGGCAGAGGTGCAGCCCGTCCCTGTGTGCCTTAGCGCAGGCAGGAGCACCCCTGCCCTGCCCAGAGCTGCTGTGATTCCAGGGGCCCACCAGGAACACAGCGTAGGGCAGCTGCCGGCAGGGCTCCTGCAGATTCGTCTGCACACTTTTCCAAGGGCCAAACCTCTGCTTTCGTAGAGCCCATGTCCAGGGAATTTTAGGATCCTTTAGCTAAGATGCTTTCCTTTTACTACTAAGTGTTCATTGCAGTAGTTTATTAGAGCAGCAGTTTTGTGTGGTGAGGACACCTGTAGCCAGGAACCTGCCTGCCACCCACAGCCCGGCAGCAGCACTGTGCCCCAGTCCACGTGAATCAAGTCGATTAAAGGCATCTGGGCTGGAAGCCGCTGGCGTGTGGAGAGACCCGACTTCTCTACCCCTGCGCCATCCCCTGGGGGTTCACGCTTGGGATGCTGGGGAATACCCTGCAGCCCCCTGGCCTGGCTTCGAGCTGACTGTGAGGCTGCAGGGCCTGCCGTGCTTGGCCTCCGGGCACGGGCAGGGCTGGGTCCGAGCCATAGGGAGGCTCTCTGCCTCTCAGGGAAGGGGCCCCAGGCCTGCAGGTCAGAGACAGCCAGACATTCAGAGGGGGAGGGGTGGTTGGGAGGACGCCCGCCTACATTCTACTTGATGGGCCCAAGCCAGCCCAGCAGGTTGGGGGCAGCGTGACGCCTGGGGACCCGCCAGGAACAGCACGATGAGCTCACACCTCCAGCGGGCAGCGGCAGGGGGAGGTGTAGCCTACATTCTGCTCCCTTAAGGCAGAGCGGCCCAGGGTTCTGATCCAGACCCATGGACTGAGCTGCACCAGAACATTCTAGAAGATGGAACTGCTGGGTTGGCCTGCTGGCCTCAGCCTCTTTCTCATAAAAACGGCGCCAGTCCCCCAGATGTGGGACGCTCCCAGGAGGGGTCTTCTCCCCAAGAGCACCAGGAAGGGTCAGGGGCAGCCCCCCCCACCCCTCACACGGCCAGGCACACTCTGGGCCCTGCCCAGGCATCCACTTCCGGTCATGCTCCCTGGGAGGACACGAGCAGCCCCCATCTTTGAATCCAGGCCTTCCATGTGCTGCGCTGGACCAGGGCAGCCCCCAGAGATGGTCCATCCTGGTGGTCCTACGGCACTCCCGGGGGCTCCCTCTGGCTCAGATTTGTTTGGTCAGTGTGGCCTCAGAGCTGGATTCCTGGGGCTCCACTGAGGCCAGTGTTCACGGCACCAGTGTCCCCCTCCCCCAGAGGGAGACAGGGTGATCGGGGAGCCAGACCACACCCACATCCCTGCCACCGACTCAGGAGATAGGCATGCTGTCCCCCCGGGCCTCAAAAATGCACACTTAGCTGTACACAAAAGCCCATATAAAATATGGGTTTATACAAAACCCCAAACCTACCCCCTGCCCAGTTCCTGCCCCTGACATCACCAAGTCTCCACCCAGAACTCTCTCTGGGGATCGGCACCGCCACAGGGCATCCTGCAGTACCGCCCACCTCTGGACCCTGGCTCCCCGGTGCTACCTGGCCCATGTGCCCCGTGTGGGCTCGCTGTGCTGTGCTGCTGACCCTAACTCCCAGCACCTGGGCGAGCGGGGGCCGTGAGCTGTTCCAATCTGTAGGTGCTCCGGTCCTTGTCGATTTCGCGGTTCTGCTCCAGGTGCCCCTGCCCTCTGACAGGCACCACCTGCCCCTCAACCCTGCAGCGGCCTTAAGGCGCCGGGGGCAGGACACGGGCATCCACCTCAAGGCCGAGGACCGGGGCTCCGGGTCCTCCTGCCCCAGCAGGCACCGCCCCGACTCCCAGATGAACGTTCTCTGTAACGCAGCAGGCACAGAACCAAAACAGCCGACACAAGGTGGTTCTCATGTTTTTCTCAGAGGTGGAAACTATACAGGAACACAGCAGAAATTACCAGAACAGTCTGTATCTCTATAAAACACTCTTCACGCCCACACCCCTCCCCCCTTGATGGACAGGAGCCGAGAAGCCCCTGGGCTGCCCCACCCCCACCCGGGCTCCAGGCGGCACGGCCGGGCGAGGCGGGCTATGTACAGCAGGTGGCAGGAGACCAGGCTGCCCGTCCAACCACGCGGCCCGTTGGGGGGCCACCAGGAGAGCCCGCGTGCGGGCCACGTGCTTCCCTCCGCCATCCCCCCGGGTGGCCCCGCCCTCCGCGCCCACTGCTCTCGGCCACACCCACAGCCTCTTGTGCTGCCGAGAGCCAGAGGGCAGCCTCAGTGGTCAGACTGTCCAGGGAAAGTCCAGCCGGGGTGCAGCGGGAGCCGCTGGCCTGGGCCTGGACCCGCTGGGCCGCTCCGTGGGAAAGTCGATGCTGGGCCTCCGGCCGCCGCCAGGTCCCTCTGGAGGCCCCGAGTCTCCGGCGTGACCTGAGCTGACGCCGTGGGCAGGGGCCGCCTAGCTGCTCCCGGCCGAGGGGCAGATGGTGCCGCACACACGCAGGGCCAAGCGCGCCCCCTCGCCATCCGCCAAGGCCTCTGCGCCCTCCCCGGGCTCAGGTGCGGGCAGGGTCTCGCTCGTGGGGTCCTGGCTCCTCTTCAGCCTGGGGGGACACACAGGGAGGGCCTTGACGCGGCCTTGCCGGCAGCCCCGGACGCTGCTCACTGGCCCATGGTCTGTCCAGGGACTCCTGGAGTGGGTCCCGCAGGAACACGGACACATGCTGGGTATCTCTGCCTGGGCAGAAGCTCCTCCAGCCACACTGGCTCAACAGGGCGTGCGGGCACACGGGGCGTTCCAGCCCAGCACCCTGTCTGGCCGTTCGCGGCCCTCGGTCTCAGAGCGGCAGGGCTGGCGAGTCTCAGCCCATTTCCAGCCAGAAGCTAAAAGGGAGTTGATGTGACCGCAGCTTCTGCAGGTCAGCAATTCTGGAACAAAGCGCCTGGCCAGGTCCCATTACTACGCAGGCCTTGACCTCCAGGATGATGGCCACTGTCCTAAACCAGTGTCCACACGTCGTCCACACGTGGTCACTGAGGCAGGACAGAGCACCAGCTAATCCTGCTCATTTTCCAGGCCAGAGCTCAGAGCCGCCTCCTCCAGGAAGTCCTCTGCCCCTCGCCCCACTCCTCCTCTCAGGCCCCACAGCACTGGGCCACCTCCCTCCACTGTGGCAGGTGTCTTGGGTGTCCATTTGTGGCCTGTCGTATCTCCCTGCCAGCCAGCTCTGCCTTTTCTGTCCCACAGTCCCTGAATAACCGAGTGAGGGGTGGGAGTTGATGTGACTGCAGGGGCCGCCCAGGAAGTCATCTGCCCTCAGCTGGGCAGTCCACCCAGTGTCTGCCCAGGAGATTCTGGGCATTGGCTGAAAGTGCCCAAGTTTAGAACCGAAAGTGCCCAACGAGCCCTTCCCCCAGAAGCCTGAACAGGGACCTCACACCCTCTCCCCCAGGGCCACTGCTCAGAGACCCCGAGGAGGGCAGGGGTCAGGCTTCCCAGCCCCGCTGATGCCACGTGGTTGCAGTGGCCAAGGAAACCGAGGCACAATTCCCCAACGTCCTTTCTGCCCCCATTACTGGCCCCCAGCACGCACACTCACTTTTCTCTATTAAAAATCACAAAGTCTTGCTGGATGGCATCAAGGCAGTCCTGAAGGTAGTCATTCTCCTGTTAGTCAGAAAGACACAAAAGTGAGCGCAGCGGACCCCGCCAGGTTCCCTCGCATCCCTCAGGTGAGTTCCTGGGCACCCCTGGTCTGCTTCTGCTCTGTGGCTGCCTCCTCTCTGAGGAGCCTGCCTTTGGGCTGTTTAGGCAGCCGGAGTGCATGGGAGTTTGCATCTCCAGGTGACACTTAGCCAGAGACAGAAGGACGCCCGGCCCCCTATCTCAGGGTGGTCGCAGTGTGTGCAGAACCAGACTCGTCCGGAAGCCACACCGGGCTTGGTTCCATCCCCTCCCCCCACACACACACCAGGTCCTCCCGGTCACTTGAGCCTGGTACACAAATCCCACCTGAGGGTCTGACTCCGGGGAACCTGACTAAGAAGGTCCCCGGCAGGAGCTGTCCCAAGAAGCAGACGCTCAGCATGGGGTTCTGGAGTTGGGTCCCGCCCTGGCTAGATGCAAGGAGTGCTGAAGGGCCCTGGCGGGCGTGAGACCCCGACCGCTAAGACCCTCGCCTCAGGTGTGTCGGGAGAGGGTGCAGGTGGAGGGGACGCACTGGGACTGCGGGTCAGGGTGGTCGCGCCTGGCCCCATGGGTGTGTGAGCCACGGGCTTGGGGCGGCCAATCAGCAGCCCCAGCCGCAATGTGGAGACGCTCTATCCCGCGGCCCCGACAGCGAGCTAGAGACAGGATGAGATGTCCGAGCAGGGGAACTTCAGAGAACTCTGGTCTCACAGCCTTGAAGTTTCCCGCATCAAATGTAAGGCCCTGATAGGGAAGGAGTGGGCCTCTGGGACGTGGGAGGGGCCACCCGAGGGGCTGTTCGTGGACACGTTAACCCTACCGAGCCCGCGGGAGGGCCTCTCGCCCGCTCCACCCCAGCTCCTGCGGATGACGCAGAGCTGCAGCCACAGCAGGCGAGACACAGCACCTGCCCGCTCAAGCCCTGCCCCACCTGCTCTCCTCGTCACGTGCACCCCTCGCAACTGTGCAGGCGCTGCTGGTAAGGACGGTGTTACTCAACGAACCGGCAGGACGGGCCTGGGAGGGGCCTGGGGGTGGGGCTATGTGGCTGGACAAGGGAGAGTCTGCCCTTCCAAGACTTGGGTCTAATCCCCTGGCAAGAGCCTCTGGCATGTGTGGGTCCTAATACACTGCAACGTGGAAACATGGAAAAAATGACGGCCCAGGTGAAGAGTCTGGAAGGTTCAGAACGGCCTTGGGAGAATGCCGGGGGGGGGGGGGGG